ACCACCTCTTCTGAAAATGGCAACTGGAGACCTCTGCTGTCAAGTGGACGGTGGTTTCATGTTGGGTTGAATGCAGATAATGGAGCTTGAAGGCTTCTGCTAGATTGCATTATTTAGTTGTTTACTTATTTTTTTAGTTATGTTATTTAGTTATTTTTAGTTATGTTATTTAGTTATTTTTAGTTATGTTATTTAGTTATTTTTAATTGTTATTTAGTTATTTTTAGTTATGTTATTTAGTTATTTCTTAATTATGTTATTTAGTTATTTAGTTATTTTATNTAGATAGATAGATAGATAGATAGATAGATAGATAGATAGATAGATAGATAGATAGATAGATAGATAGATAGATAGATAGATAGATGGGTGGATGGGTGGATGCTTGATAGATATCTATCTATCATTGATGGATTAGTTTTACAACTATATTGATAGACAGACATAGATTATTGAAGATTAGTTCTACAGACATATCAATAGATAGAATGATATAGATTATTGATAGATTAGTTTTACAGTCATATCAAAGAAAACAAAGCTAAGATACAAGGTCTATTTCCAGGATAAAATAAGCAAAAGAAAATACAGTAATAAAATACATGTGCTAATTGCAAAGAATTGATGTTCCATTAAATACATCACCTTTACACGATACCCCAATCCGTTAAGTGTAACAGATTCTTACTTGAACTGCCTTGTCTATAAACCTGACAGTTTCCTTAACAAAGGATAGACGCTTTGGATGAATTTTAATCTGCTTAGTTCATCCAAAGCTTGCTTGTTTACTGTTGGCAGGACTGAAACTAGCTTGAATTATAGAAGCTAAGGAGTACTTAAGGGGACACGGTGGCTCAGTGGCTAAGACGCTGAGATTGTGGATCAGAAAGGTCGGCAGTTCAGTTTGAATCCCTAGTGCCGCGTAATTTAAAAAATGATAAGTTCTGACCCAGGCATTCTTAAAAAGCATGAAGCAGAGTCTTGGTCCCGGCAAAATCTCTTTTATTTACATGACTGTGAATTCCTTTCTTCACAGTCCGCAAGGCTTGGCAAACAGTCTTTCAGAGGAATATTTATCAACACGAACCTTATCTCGCTTGGAGAGCTGCCAGATAACTAGTGTCCAAACCCAGGTCAAGGCAACACTTGGCACAGTCTCTTAGAGTCACAAACAGAATTTTCCACTCTTGAAATGACGGAAGGAATGAATTGTTTCCTACAAAAGCCCCCTTCCGGTTCACTCCTCTTTTGTTTCCTCTGGGAGGGGCCAATCACCTCCAAGGTTGGCTTTATTCTTGAGTCGACCTGCTTTCCTAGTTGTTCTTCTGGCAGCTCTGCGCATGTGCACACTGGGAACATGCTCCAGCTGTTCTTCTGCCTCACTGGCTCCCTCTCTGCCTCCGACGCAGAGCCTCGTCTGAGCGTTTCTCAGCCCCAGGACTGGCCCATGTTCCTCCCCAACCTCCTCACTGTCCGACTCTGCTGCCAGCTCTGCTGGCCTCTGGCGGGCCACTACAGTTATACCCCAGGACAAAAGAGGACAATCTGCAATTGTTCCTGTTTTGAGATGCTTGAATCTTTCCGCAAGAGGAGAGAGGAGTGTTAGCCAAGTCCCAAAGGTTCTTTTCCAAAAAGGCAACAGGCCTTTCTCGTTTCGTTTTTTCTTTGAAAAACATTTCACTTCTTATCTGAGAAGCTTCTTCAGTTCCAACTGACTAGTTGGGGCATTTCGGTAGACGAGTATTGGTTATGTACTCAGGCCTTGAGTTACGTCCAAATCTAACCAATAAAATATTTCAATTGCTCCAGGTTGCAGGGGACGGAAGACGACGTTTCCTTTATTTGTAAAAAAAAAATTGACGAGTGGAGCCCTTCTTCCCACCCAAGAGTTAAGGAGGGTGGCCTCAACTGTATTTCAGCATCTCATTAAGAGCACCATGAACCAGTTAGCACCGCCTGGATGAATTGGGCTCCGGAATTGAAATGAACTAGTTAACAGTCAACATGTCCCCAAGGAAATATCCCTCTGCTGTAATACGGCTCTCTCAAACCGCTCTCTCAAACCCCCTGCGAAGGAAAAGGAGGGAGGGAGAGGCTGGGCTGCCTTTCCGTATCCTCTGCTCCTTCGGGAATGGCGTCCTTGCTGATAAAAATGTAGTTTATTGCAAAGATTAGAGGAAATATGGGTCATTGCTGGTGCAGTAATTAGTTGTGGCAAGCCCTAGAAATGTAAAACTTTATAAATAGGACATGCTCACTCGGCAGNTCCTGATCTGACCATCAATATTATTTATGTTCTCAATATTTCTTTGCCTTTTCCAGATTTGATTTATGGCTGTGGGTTAGATAGATTTTCTTACCGGTCTTTCATCTCTTCCGCACTCCCCTGTTCCTTTTGCTTTGATAAGAAGTCAGCGTCTTGTCAGCCCCGACTCCGATTCAAAAAGCAAATCTCCAACCTGCGAGGGGCCTGTTGCGTCCCTCTGAGTCTGATGAGATGCTGCCCTCTTCGCCCCCTCCGGGGTGTGTGTGTTCTGATCCAAAAGTATCTCGGAATTTGTCAGACACGGTTCATGTGAGGCTCTTGAGAGCCCCCCCCATCTGTGCAGCTGAAGAACTTCCTGTTGACTCCCCTACTCATCTCATTTTTCAAATAAAACTGACCGTATTATTCTGCATAACTATCATGAATTATTAGACAGTTCTCAGTGAATGGAGAAAAATGTGGCCATCATTATTTTTATTTATATAAATGTGTTCTAGAATCTTAATAAAGTTAACAGTTAATGTACAAGTGTTTATCTTATTTTTCCTTGTTCAGGGATTAAAAAAAATACTACAAAATTTCCAATTTCCATTTGAAATATTTGCCAGAATATGAAATTTCAAAATTTCAAATTAAAATATAAGATGTGGATTTTGGGTGCGTGCACATATGTATGACATGCGTAGGTTGCTCTAGTAAAAGTAAATTAATAAATCAAAAAAATGCTAAGCCAAGTTCCTGGATGAGTTTTAAATTTTTCTGATCTGTCAGTAGATGAAAGTAACATTAGTGCCTGCCAAAATCCTCATGGCAGTGGTCCCCAACCTTTTTGGGTCCATGGATCGGCAGTGGTGAAGCAGTGGTCATGGGGAAGGGATGGTTTCTCATGTACAACCTAGATTCTGTGCATGCGCAAATGACGCTTTGCATGCTCAACTGCTGCTTCTCCCAACAGGCTGCGGACCAGTACCAATGCTGGGGATTCCTGTCTCATGGAAAACATTTAATTATCAAAGTTCTGCAACCAAATAAGCCTACTTATTAGTTGCCACATACTTTAAATTATAACAGCAGTCCACATGTGGTCTGCCATCTGAAATCATCTGACCCATAGTTTTGAAAAATAGTCAATTAACCAACACATGAGAGTGGAAGAGCGGCCTTCTGTTTGGCTGCTCTTGTGGGTAGCTTGCTGTATTCTTAAGATAATAACATATTACTTAAATAAATATGCAGTATTATACTTAATTAGGTTTAATTATCCTATATAATCCTGACTGGCTCAAGGTTGACTCAGTCATTCATCCTTCTGAGTTTGGTAAAATGAGGACTCAGTTTATTGGAGGCAATATGCTGATTCTACAAACCACTTAGGGCTGTAAAGCATCATGAAACAGTATATAAGTCTTAAGCGCTATTGCTATTAATTATTATTATCTTCATTTATTAGTTACAAACATGCCTTTGGTACTTATTTGGAAAAACGTTGACCTCTTAGAGACTTAGAGAAAGGGGTCAATGGATGATTTTTCAGGTATGTTGAAGTAAAGCAATTCTTATACTGCAAGCAGTATAAGCTTTAAAAAATGGTATTGGACCTGGGTACTTGAGAGACCGCCTGCTGCCAATTACCTCCAACAGACCTATTAGATCCCACAGACTAGGCCTC